GTTCTCTACAACATGCGCGTCCTCCAGTCAAACGCACGCGCCCCGGACTTTTGACCCACGGGATTCCACGTGTGTAAGGTGTGCGCCCCCTGCAGGATCAGCAGCTCACAACAGCGTACTGGGTTGTATCTTTGCCACGACAAGATCAGCAGCCCACAACGGCGTGTTGAACCAACTGGGCATGTACATGTGTATGCGCTACAAAGTGGCCAGTTCTCAGCTTCCAGCTCCACAGGTTGTTCCGCGTGCTAAAGTTGCACTAGAAAGTCGCCAGTCAGTTCTCATCTTCCAGCTCCCCAGATGCTCCGCGTACTGCAGTTGTACTACACAGCCGCCAGTTCTCATCGTCCAGCTCGCCAGATTGCTCCGCGTACTAAAGTCGTACTACAAAGTCGCCAGTTCTCATCTTCCAGCTCCCCAGATACTCCGCGTACTAAAGTTGCACTACAAAGTCGCCAGTTCTCAGCTTTCTCAGCTTCCAGCTCTACAGATTGCTCCGCGTACTAAAGTTGTACTAGAAAGTCGCCAGTTCTCACCATCCAGCTCCACAGATACTCCGCGTAGTAAAGTTGTACTACAAAGTCGCCAGTTGCTCGCCAGATACTCCGTGTACTAAAGGTGTACTACGAAGTCGCCAGTTCTCAGCTTCTAGCTGCACACAGATAGCTCCGCGCTTGCCAGATACTCCGCGTACTAAAGTTGTACTACAATGTCGCCAGTTCTCAGCTTCCAGCTCACAAATTGCTCCGCGTACTACCGCGTACTAAAGTTGTACTACAAGAGCCGCCAGTTCTCACCTTCCACCTCCCCAGATGCTGCGCCTGCCACGAAATCTGCACATGGAGGTTCACAAAGTGCTGTGCCTGCCACGAAATCTGCACATGGAGGTTCACAAAGTGCTGCACCTGCCACGAAATCTGCACATGGAGGTTCACAAAGTGCTGCGCCTGCCACGAAATCTGCACATGGAGGTTCACAAAGTGCTGCGCCTGCCTCGAAATCTCCACATGGAGGTTCACAAAGTGCTGTGCCTGCCACAAAATCTGCACATGGAGGTTCACAAAGTGCTGTGCCTGCCACGAAATCTGCACATGGAGGTTCACAACCCTGAGTCTGCGGATCAACTAAATTTAGTAGGCCAAAAAATTACTTAATTTCCATTAGTAAAGTAAAAAATTAGTAAAAAATCAAAGTAATTTTTCCATAGTAAAATTTAGTAAGACAAGTAATTTAAATTAGTAAGGCTAGTAATTTAATTTAGTAAGGCTAGTAATTTTTTTAGTATGTGAAACATGTGTTGTCATATGTTGTTTTTTGTGTGGTTTCTGTTATTTCTGTGTTGTTTTGTTTTTGTTGTTTTGTTCGTTTTGTTGTTTTCTTGTTGTTGTTGGCTGTGTTTAAGTTTTTGCAAGAGTAATGTCACCAAATTTGTTCACTTTTGACTCATGTCACATGTCGCATGTTCTTGAAAACCGCCTTGTTTGTGTTCATGATCAACCTCCCCCTGTCTATCAAACAGGCTGTTGACAATTAGGGTTTGCTTTTCTCTTTTGCCATGTTTGAACTTCTTTGTACTCCCCCACTCCCTTGCAATCCACTCTGGGATCTCACCGGCAGCAAACATCTGCGTGAACTTCTGTTGCTTGACTCGGTCTCTGGTCTCTGCACTCTTGCTCTTCTCTGGGTCTACTTCTGGGTCCTCCTCCTTCTCATTCTCTTCTTATGCTTCCTCCTCTTTGTCCTTCTCCTCAGGCACAGGCACAATGCCCACCTTCCAGCTTTGCCAGGTTTGTTCTTGCCCTGAAGGTCGCTTGAAGGGTTTTGGCACTGATTTGGGTGGCTTGGGCTTGGACACAGTTGACTTCTTGATAACCTTGTTCTTTGCCTTTTCCTTGGGCGCAGTCTTGGGAGCAGCTTTTGCCTTTGTTGATGATTTCTTCAGGACTGAACCAGGAGTGGCAGAAGGCTTCTCACTATCTTTCTCTGACTTTGCTGGTGTTTGGGCCACCATAGATTCATTTGGCATTCCATCAGCCATGAGTGCAGTGGATCACTCACAATACATTACAAACTCTCAAAACAAAAAGCGCAGAAAGTTGTAGGAAGATTGAAGATGGCACTCAATGTACTGTTCACAAGAACTGCCCACCAGTTAATGACAGAAGTTACTGAAGAACAAGCCACAAGAAATTACACATCTCCAAAACAAGAACTTCTGACAAGTAAATGACACTCAAGACCTGTTCACAAGCAAATGCGCATCTTCACAACAAGAACTGCTCACAAGTAAATGAAATTATTCATAGGAATTCTATTATTGGAGAACTGCTCTCAAGTAAATGTTGAAGGGTTATGTAAAATTTTGCTCAAGAGTACTGTTACATGCCACTGCATTCGTAGGTAAAATGTGCAAAAAGAACTTCAACAACTATATACAGTTTGTATGCAGTTTATATGTAGTTTATATATGCAGTTTACATGCAGTTTTGAAAACTACATGTAGTTTTGATAAAACTACATGTAGTTTTGATAAAACTACATGTAGTTTTCAAAACTGCATATAAACTACATACAAACTGCGTACAAACTGCATAAAAAGTACATAGAAAAATGAGCAGAAAATCAACAAACGCACATCAAAAGTATACACACATATTCAACTTTGTTATCTCCATGTTATATTCTGGACATGCTGATGCTGCACTTGTGAGTTCATTAGACTCTGGATACATTTACTTGTGAAGCTGTTTTTACTTGTGAACCACCTTCTGTATTTCCTTGCAGTCAAATTGCACAATGGCTTTGGGCGCTGGACTGTGTACGACTTTTTTTGGCATTCGTAAATGTTTTCGGAAAGCTATGCTCTAGCTTTACTTGAGACATCATTTACTGTTTTGTGGATGCCACTTGCTCAAGGCACTGTTGTGAGGTTTGTGGATTGCACTTTCCATAAGCCCACTATTTTCACTGTTGTGTACACTCTTGTGTCAATATTGCCATGTACTTGTGAGCCATTTGCTTTGTGAAAAGAACTACTTGTGGCCAGGTCTTGTGCCAATATTGCAATTTTCTTTTGGACAGTTCTTCTGTCCAGATTGTAGTTTACCTGTGAGCGTTGATGGTCATCTACTTGTGAAACAGCTCAACTGCCAAGACTGCCACTTAGACTTACTCGTGACCAGATGTTTTCGCAAGATTGTCATTTACTTGTGAACAGCTCAAATGCAAAGACTGCAATTTACTTGTGAACAGTTCTTGTCAAGATGACACTTTACATGTATCATTTTCTCGCCTCAAGATAGAAACCTCGATAACCCCACAAGACCTCTCTCAAGTAAAAAGAGCTGTACCTGATCTCCAGTAAAATTTTCGCAACGCTTCTCAAGTAACTTGGTGAAAGTACACCAATAAAAATATTCGAGTTTTCTCAAGTAAACACAGCAACACCAAGTGCTCCCACACCTTTCCTCAAGTAGATCAAACAACACTTCTCAAGTATATCACCCCTGGCTTCTCTCAAGGCAGACGAGTAAATTGGTTGTGACAAGCTCCTCTCTCAAGTAAAATGACTTCTCAATTTTTTGAAATATATACTGCAACACTTCTCAAGTAATTTGAGGCGACGGTGACGGAAACCATTCTTGTCTGTTACCTGTGAAAACCAACTTCATGTGTAACTTCCAAGCCAATGTTTTGTGTGTTTCTGTGGTGTTTTTGCGTTGACTGTTGCGGTTGTTTCTATGTTGTTTCTATGCTGCTTCTATGCTGCTTCTATGTTGTTTATATGTTGTTTCTATGCTGTTTCTATGTTGTTTATACGTTGTTCCTATGCTGTTTCTATGTTGTTTATATGTTGTTTATATGTTGTTTCTATGCTGTTTCTATGTTGTTTTGACTTTGTTGAAATTTACTATGAAAAATTAGTTTCTCAACAATTTACTAGGAAACCAACTAATTTTTTCAATTACATTGATTTCATCCAAAAACTAAATTTAGTTGATCTGCAGACTCAGGGAAAGTGCTCCGCCTGCCACGAAATCTGCACATGGATGTTCACAAAGTGCTGTGCCTGCCACGAAATCTCCACATTGACGTTCACAAAGTGCTGCACCTGCCACGAACTCTATACATGGAGGTTCACAAAGTGCTGCACCTGCCACGAAATCTGCACATGGAGGCTCACAAAGTGCTGTGCCTGCCACGAAATCTGCACATGGAGGTTCACAAAGTGCTGCGCCTGCCACGAAATCTGCACCTGGAGGTTCACAAAGTGCTGCACCTGCCACGAAATCTGCACCTGGAGGTTCACAAAGTGCTGTGCCTGCCACGAAATCTGCACCTGGAGGTTCACAAAGTGCTGCACCTGCCACGACATCTGCGCATGGAGGTTCACAAAGTGTTGTGCCTGCCACGAAATCTGCACATGGAGGTTCACAAAGCGCTGCGCCTGCCACGAAATCTGCACTTCAAGAGACAAGTGAAAACCTAATCACAATGGACGGCCGACCGACCATGACCCGAGACCGTCTCGCAACCGTCGTTCCGCAGAGCTAGACTTGCCAGGTTCGAAGCCACCGGTTCTATTGAAAAATACAGCATTTCGTGCGTCCGCTATCTCTCGAAAACGCATTTTGTATTGCACCTGCCACGAAATCTGCACATGGAGGTTCACAAATTGCTGCGCCTGCCACGAAATCTGATGAGTGGTGTATGATAAGTGGTGTATGATGAGTGGTGGTTTGATGAGTGGTGGTTTGATGAGTGGTGTATGATGAGTGGTGGTTTGACGAGTGGTGATGAGTGGTGTATGATGAGTGGTGTATGATGAGTGATGTAAATGTTCGTAACACGGAAGTTCCTTCTAAACTTCCTTTGAACAGTAACTATATATAATAGCCACGTAGCAAACTAATTCATTGACACCTTGCTGTTTTGGAACTTTGTGTCAGGGACACCTTTTCCATCGGCAAAGAAAGGGTATGAACCCGCATAAGTGTTAGGAACGCCGAAAGCGGCAACGACAAAGAAAGAAAGAGGCAGTCGAGGGCTCAGAAAATATCAGAAAACCAACACAAAGATGTGACAGGATGTGTGTTGCGCATCAGCTGCGCTCCCTCGTTTACGTATGTTTACATCATGCTTGGCGCAAACAAAGACAAATTGAAGCCATTCGACTCAGGTTTCAATTGCTGACAGGGTCAAGGAATTTTATTCACGCACAAATTCCTTGTTTGGCCTGCAAACTTGAGTTACATTCACATCCCATCCATGTTAACTACCTTACTACAGTGGCCATGGCCCATAGCCCTTTCCAAACAAACTTTCTTGGGAGAACCGTCGAAACCGCTGTCCCAAACACGAGAGTCACTGTAACAGTTTTAAACAGTAACTAGAAGCTACTGGTTGGAGGCCATCGCAAGTAGGTTGGAGGCCATCGCTACTAGTAACAATAAAGCTTTCTTGATCTTTCTTGTATGTCTTTGAAGCTTCCTAGTTTGAGGCCAAAGCAGCTTCCGCAGAACTCCACGCTGCCGAGCTTGGTGGCGAGGAGGCGGATCGGACCTGCTTCATCTAGCTAGTTCAGCAATTGTTAAGCATGTCTAGTTTCACATAGGTTTATACATGTAGTTTAATGATTATGATATATTACGAAAGCCAGCCGATAGGCTAGGCTGGAGTTGTCGATGGGCGAACAAAGTGAGTATAGGGGATGTGGGGGGAGGTGGTTACCTAGCTGGCCAGCTTGGGTAGGGCGAGCCCAGAGCCTAGTCGGGGAGAGCGAAAAAAAGAGGCGATCCGAAAAGCAGTGAAAATGTATGGTTTTGGGGTGTTGTGATGCAAGTGATGCAATTGATGGTGCATCATTAGCATCATGAAGGGCTCAGGAGGCTGTTTGGGCAGTCTTGCGACAGGGAGTGCGAGGACAGGGGCAAAGCGGTCGGAAATCCACCAGGAAAGTGAAGTGTGCGTCTCTCAACACTGCTTTCTTGTGGCAAATGAGAGTGGAAGGGAACGCAAGAAGCGATGTGAGGACAGGAGAGGGAACAGAATGCAGTCGGCAAGCTTTGAGTTGTTTGGGGGTGCCCCTTTTTTCATGTCCTGCTAACCCGGTCCGTCATTTCGTCCGTCGTTTCACTTCTTTATTAAGCCCGGTCCGTCGTTTCATTTCTCTATTAAACTCGGTCCGTCACTTCATTCCTAAACCCGGTCCGTCATATTTCATCTCTCTATTGAAACCCCGTCATTTCATTTCCCTATTGAACCCGGTCCGTCATTTCATGTTTCTACTCAAGCCCGGTCCGTCATTTCATTTCTTAGTGAGCCCGGTCGGTCATTTCGTTTCTCCCAGTACCAGGTTTCTGTATTTTCATTCCATGTAATATGTACACTTTGTACCGTGCACATATCTAGGATGTTATGACCTGACCCTGTAGCTCGCGGCCCAAAAGGAACCGTAGCTTAGCGGCTGTTTCTATAGGTTATCAGCCGTAATGCTCTAACCACAGCCATGGACGCTATTGCTATTCCCGGGAACAGTACCTCATCGGTCGCAGTCCCGGCCGGTCTCATGACTGAGCCCACGGTGGATCTAGATGACCCCATGGGTTCAGCACCTGTCACAGCGTATTTCCAGTTTGTACAAAAGGGACAGCCTTTGTATCCAGGTGTCCAGTTTGCATCCAGGTGTCCAGTTTTTGGGCTCCATTTCGGGACCATTTTGTGAACCATGTCAGGTCAGGTCTAGCTTCCCAGCTTGGTGATGACTTTTGTGAAGGCTGTGTTTGGGTGTGGACCAAGTCAGGCCTAGCTTCCCAGCTGCTAGCTTGGATGATGACTTTCAAGGCTGTGGTTGCCAGCATTAAGCTGTGAATAGTGTCAAGTCTTGTGTTGTCATTGGCCCAAGGAAAAGTGCACAAAAAAAGTGCAAGTGAGGTTTGTTATGACCCTTAATGCCCCCACGTTTGTATTACTACACACACACACTCATCATGATATTGTCATTAATATATGTATATGTATATGTATAGTCATATAGTCAAGCACACACTTTTTTGTGCCTGCTTCACTGCACAGCTCTGTTTTGGAGTGTTGCTTCTTATTCAAAGGCAGTGTGGTGTAATCTGTTGCTGCGATCAAAATTAACTAGGCGAGCCTACAAAGGCTTTGGAGGGCCCAGTGGAACCAGTTTTGAGATTACTTTTGAAAGGTCAATTTTCAAAGTGCGTGGAGTGATGCTGCCCCAGGTCTTGAGAAGTAGCTGCGCAGAAAGAATGTATGGCACATTGCACGCAATCCCGTAAAGCCATTTCTTGCTGAGAGGCCCAAAAGTTTCGAACAATGGCCCCCACCCACGCGCTATGCATCCTCGAACAATTTGCAGAGTTGATCCTTTCTGGCCAGAAGACTTGGGAGTTGAGAGGCAGTTCAACTAATAGACGTGGCCCTGTGGCGTTGGCAGTTTCCAAGTCTTCACACCTATATGGTGAGATCACAATCACTGGTTGTATCAAAGTTGCACAGCGCAATCCAGAAGGTGATCTCATTCCATGCTTTGGATATGAACATCAGTACTTTATAGGATGGGAAGAGAACATGAAAAAGCACTGCGTGCGAGAGATTGCCACCATCACCTACGACACAGTCTGGGCTTGGACATTGGAAAGTCCCTTGCGGTATGAAGAGCCAAAGTTTTACAAACATCCAAAAGGTGCAATTGTTTGGGTCAAATTGGAGGAGGACAATGCACAAGGTAAGCCAAAGAGCAAACCACGCCCTAAAACCAAAGCTGCTGTGAAGAAACCGTCGAAGCGTTAAGGCGTGCTGCGAAAAATGGTGCAATGCAACAGTTTTTTGACTGCTACCCTTCGCGTTGCTGCTACTACCTCTGTAACACTTCCACTGCTTCTGGCTTCTGAGATTCATACAACATATACATACATTTGCACTTGACCCATATCAATATGACACATGTGTTTTCAGATGCCACGTGTGTGCTTCAGATTCTTTTGGCCTGGCTTTCAATATGATGTTGTTGACACATTTTCAGCCACTCAAGCAGTGTTCTCTTAAGCTCAAGTTTTTGTGTTAGTTCCACAATTTCAGGTGGCTCGAGGTTTCCGCAGGTGTGTTTAGCTGCAGCGTTCTGTCGTGATGGTTCTCAAGAGCATCGATGCTCTGAGTGAGTCACTGGCTGAGCTTCTGTTATAGTGCACTCACTGAGTGAGTTTCAAACATTAACATCAGAATCAGTTGATGCACCTCTAAATGCTTCAAGCTGATGTGCCCAGTGACGATGCAGCTGGTCCAACAGCACCGCTGAAACGCGCGCGTCCAGCCGTGAAGGCCGTTGAAGTTTACTGTCAATAATTTTGTTTTTTGGAACACAGGGACAAACAGTAGTTAAATACATATTGAGTTCAACTTCAGGTGGATACTCCTTCTGGCAAGTTTCCCAAGCACGCTGTGATGCTGGCTGATGGGTGCGTCAAAGCATTTAAGCCCTTTGTACTGCCTCGGGTGCGTCCACTGAAGATGCGTCTTGTTTTTGGGCACCAACATACTGTTGCGAATTTGTTTGCGCGTTCTCACACACAAGGAGCTGTAGTTTTTGACTCTACCATTAGATGAGGTTCCTCCGAACAAATCTCCACCCTACAAGAAAGTGAAGGGCAAGAAGGTGAAACTGATCACCCACCCTACAGTCTTGCGCAGCTATGGGACTTTGAGTGTTTTGAATGAAACCTCTATTGAATGTTTCAGTTTCTGTTTCTTGTTCTTGTTTAGTTTCATCCTTTCTTCTGTTCCTCGAACTCGTGCGCCCTCAGGAGTTTTTGGGGCTACCTACCGAGCAACGACAAAGTATCTATCTGTACGGGGGCGACAGGACTGCTGAATGTTTGTGACTGTTGCACTCACTGGTCACTGGAGAGGATCTGGCTACCCAACTTTACCATTGGGTTGGGTATCGCCAAGCTTTGAAAAAAGCTGGTCTTCGACGTCGAGCTGACAGAAAGTTTGTGCTGCCTGTGTTAGGGGAATGGATGGCAGGAGATTCAGTTCAAATTCTCTCAAACTCAGATATTTTGAATGAGTCTCAATGTCTTTTCAATTCAGTGCGAGTGGTTGACCAAGCTTGGTACACTTGAAGCCAAGTTCCAGGACTACCGCCTTCATGGACTAGTCCCACATCTTCTGTGGGGCAAGCAGCCTTCCATCGCATGTTTCCTGAGCAGGTTCAGGCAGCTGCGTTTGCATACTTGGTCAGAAGCAGAACTCATCTATTTGCCTTTGCAGGCTCCGCATGCAGTGGTCAGCCTGTTCTCAGGCTGTGGAGGCCTTGAATTGGGGGCACGAGAGCTTGGGGCCCAGAGGTTGCACACACACTGTGACACCATGTCAGGGTAACAGGTGCAACTAAGTAAGTGGTAGATTAATGCAAAATTCAGGTTCTGTTCTGCAAAGATGTATGCAGGGGGCTTGGAAACAGTGCTCAATTAGTGTTTTCCTTTTCTTCAAATTCTCCAGGTGGAGTCCTGTGCATTCTGCAGGGAAACCCTGCGTGCGAGAATGGCCGAGGGCTATTTGGAGACAGCCCCAATTGAGCACGATGTCAAAACTCTCATCGTTGACCAAACCCTGGCCCAGACTGTGACAGGGATCACGGCTGGGTTTCCCTGCCAGGCGCTTTCTTCTGAATTCAATCTACTTGGAGTGTGGATTCTAACACATGATGTTCTTTGTTGCAGCAGTTGCATTTGATTCCATCAGATCAAGTGCACTCAGGGAACATCGCGAAGTGGCAAAATGCTGGGTCTCGAGGACCCTCGCTCAGGACTAGTCCGTCATATTTTCAAGACTGCTGACCAGCTGCCAAATCTGTTTCTCGGACCATTTCATTTTCAGAAGAGTGCTGTGTTGTACATTGTTGCTTTCACCTTCCAGCCAGTTGCTTCATCGCTTCACTGAGTCAATTTGCACTCCTTGAGAATGTATCTGGAGTGTTGTCGCCGAAGATGTGCGACCTGATGATGTACGTGCTGACGGACGCAGCTGCGTTTCAATCTTTTCAATGTAGCAGTCAAACTTATACAGTGCTGTTCAATGCAACTTGCAGGAGTTCCGCAGTCGAGGATTCCATGTGCGGTGGTGCTGTGTTCAAGGATCCAATGTGGGCATCAATGCGCTGCCCTCAGCTCTTACCCAAGCATGGAGTGCATTGTAAGAGCTGAACATGTAACGCTACTTAGATCTTCCGGGAACGCACATTCATATTGGCCCACCGCCCTGGTTTCCAGTTCGAGGACTGTGCGCAACCACAATTATATTTGCCTCCTTTTCTTTTTGAGCAGGACAAACGCCTCAAGAGCAGTGACTTCTTCAAGGCAAGGGTCTTGACAGAGTGGCACCAGAAGGATAAGCCACCTGTTTCTTCTTGGCTTACTGACGACCTGACCAAAGAGGATCAGTCCCGATTGAAATGTATCGGAAATATTGTGATGCCCAGAGTGGCGCAGCTTGCTATCAACATTCTTGCACGATCCCTTCAGCGAC